TATTGTTAAATTGTTAAATACCCTGCCTCCACTACATAGGCCTATGTTTGTCACATCATTATAAGAGTTTGATCACCACATTTGAGTTATCATTGCAAAAAATGTGTTTATGTATGTATATATATATATATATATATATATATATATATATATATATATTCTCTTTATGTATATACTGTATTCTATATATAGTACGAGTCAAATGTTTGGACACACGAATGGGAAAGTGTCCAAACTTTTGACTGGTACTGTACTATAATATACACAAAGAATATAGGCCGATATATCGATATCGGCCTTTTTTTACTCCCTAATATCGGTATCGGCCCCAAAAAGCCCATATCGGTCGGGCTCTAATTGGCACCACTCGGCTCCTGGTTGGGAAATGTCATGCCCCTTACCATAGCCGCCTGCGAGCTTCAGTGTAAATATTGTGTCAAAATCAAATAAATTTGAGCGCGATTTAAACCCGGATGATTGTAACCACTCTTAAGTTTGTCTGCCTTGGGGAAACTAGCACGTCTCCGTCATAGTGATAACACTCGTTGACTTCTCTAGTGCAGCTCAACCATGTCTCATCCCATTCGTCGATATTTGTGATATCACAAATCCCGGAAAATGTAGTTTTTGAAAAGGGATTTCTGTTAAATAAAATATTTCCTTTTGAATTGGACTTTGAGCTTTGTAACTATGCAGATCTTTTTTATGCTCAAACAGCAACATTACAGACTAACTAAAGTTGAAAAAGCATAATAGGAACCCCTTTAAACACTGTTATAATTATGAGGGGGTCCTTGGAAAATCCTCTCCCCTGTAAGGGGTCCCTGGCTCCAATAAGTTTGAAAACCCCTGCTTTAGTCGACGCTGATAGCCTCGTGGTTAGTGCGTCGACATACAGCGCAACTGTGTCCCCTCTCTCCACCCAATGCTTTCCTGTCATCTCATTACCGTCCTGTCCCAATAAAGGTGTCCATTAATCTAACTAAAAAAAAAAAAAACTGTTCTTTAAAATATTGTGTCACAGAATAAAAAATGTCATACAGGTTGAAACAACGTGGGTGATAAAGCGAAGACAACATTTTAAGTTTTGGGTGAACTAACCCTTAATATCCATATATCAAGGAGATGGATGACGATTTAAGAAGTATCATGTTTTTTCAGAAATTCTGATGGTGTGACTGACTGAAATCGAACCTTTTCTGTCGTCTGTCCATGATGATGTGAAGAGCAATTAAAGTCAGCACCCTACATTTTCAAATATAGTCTATACAGTTAATTGAGCACTGCCTTCTGCAGTTGTTGTAGCCTCAGCATCACAAATGCTAGACCGGACCAAAATGGAACAAAACAGTCCTAATGCTTTTATTTGTAGAGGTAAAAGAGGAACTCCCATCCAGAAAGAAGAGAAATTCATCCCACAGAGGTGACGGAGAGACCCCAGAAACATTTGTTGCTCAGATGACTGTTTTCGATAAAAACAGGTTAGTAATAGCAGTGCTTTCAGAAGGCTTCATTTTACTTACAGCTCCCAGAAAAATTCCGTATGTAATGGAAAAACTGCACAGTATAGCTGTATAATGATTGTCCTTCAGACGGCTGCAGCTGCTGGATGGAGAGTATGAGGTTTCCATGCAACAGATTGAAGACTGTCCAGTCAGCAAGAAGAGGGCCACATGGGAGACTATACTAGATGGAAAGGTTGGTTATGTGGTGGAAATAAACTGCTAACTAGGGCTGGGCGATATGACGATATTATCGTATATCGACGATGTCTCGTATCGCGATGTTGATGTCAACAGTCAGGTAACAGACGATTATCGACATTATCGGGAAAAAAAAGACAAATGATGAACCTAGTAAGTTGCAAAAAATATTTTACATAGCTCCATAGTCACCATTAGGGATGTAACGATTAACCGCAAGCCGTTGAAAATCGATTCAAATATGTGACGATTCAAATCGGTTGAGATGCTAAACAAATCGCATGTTAGGGGCAGGAGTTTATATGAATGAATGTCTGAGGGGAACTTACTGTCTCTAGAA